TACCATCTCAGTCATGTTTTCCCTTTAATAAGGTTACCAGAACAGCAGAGAGAACAAAACTCTAACAATGCAATTACAAGTAGTACCTGATAAACTGCCAAAGTACTGTCTGCCAATAATGTCTATACATAAACACAGGAACATTTTTTGCTTTCTTACTTCTTGATAATATTGCAGTGACAGCTAGAGTGCATTGCATATAACTAATCCAAATCTTTCCTTTCTGTAGTTCATGTTATTTTACTTATATCCATGTATCATCTTTCTTTTTACAAGAAAGGATTAGTCAGAAAAATATTAAAATGGGTATGAATGAAATATAAATGTAAGTGTGTGTGAAAACACATGCACACACACACACACACAAAAAGGAAAAAGAGGAAAGATATGCATTAATCAATTATCATTCAGATCAAGTGGAACAAAATGGCTTCTGATACAGTATGAAGAAAACAGAGAAAAGGACTGGAGCATTAAAATACCCAGATGAGGCTAACAGGAAAACTGTGAGATTCAAAAGCTTTTCCTAATACTTACGAGGCAGTGAGACTAAAGAAAATGGGGGTGGGGGAATCCCAAACATCTTATTCCTAGAGAGTACTGAAAGCAAGTCTCAAATCAGTCCACTGTCACCAGTTAAGAACCACTCAAGAGACACAATAACCATTGTCCCTTGTATTCTCTGTCACGTACAGGTGATACTTGTTAGGCCATTGGGCTCAAAATCTGCGTGTATATAAGGGCAAGTGAGCAAAATCTAGGAGAGGATGAGTGAGAGCAGGAAACTTGCCGAATACCACCAATTTTCCCTTTCATAAGATCTTGCATTCCATTTTCAGTTTTGCTATACTCCTGCATATAAATTTGACATTTTTCTCTGTGAGACAGTGTTTGTACACAAATAGTGCCAGATCCGGAGAGGGTTCAGTCTGAAAGGATGAGACAGAGCAATGGGCAAAAGATATTGTGAGGAAGCAGGAAAGAAAGACTGGGGAGGCTGAAAGAAGAACAGACAACAGTAACTTTTGGAGTCCAGACAGGTTTTCTGTGAGGAAGCAAGAAAGAAAGACTGAGGAGGCCGAAAGAACAGACAAGAGTAACTTTTGGAGTCCAGACAGGTTTTGAGAAAGGGCCGAAGGGCACAGCTGGTACCAACTCCCTTCCTCAGATCCACTTCTCTTTCCCCATACAGACATCATCGCCAGGCCCTGCTCCTTCTCCACAGCTCCTCATAGTCTCTGGCACTCGCTGCCACTGTTGCTACTGGAATACAGGGCTGAATGCAGATAAGAACAGAGCAGGAGAGGATGGGGTGCTGGTTGTGACTCACGGCTCACTACCTGAATGGGAACAACAGCAGAAAAAGCAGCAGTGGCCAATGAAAATATGAGAACTGCAAAATCACATGTAGCATTATTAAAGAATCTGTCACTGTGACATGAAAAATCCTCTGCTGTACAGGCTGAGAGGTCCACCTGTAGGTGCAACAGCTATCAATTCCAGAAGGATAACAGCAGAAAGCTGCTGCCTGCAGCTGCCTTGGTCAGACTCTGCATGCCAAGGTTCAGTGATGGTGAAATAGCTCTGCTCAGATTCATCAATGCAACAATTTCACTTCTGATTTAGAGCAAATGAGAGCATCTGAGACAGAATACCTATAAGTGGCAGCAGAGAGAAGAGGAGAAAGAAGGTGTGTGTGATGGGGAGAGAATATAATCCAGAAGCCCAGAGGAAGAATAAGAAGCAGCGAGTCTCATGCAGCAATGAAAGGAGAAAAAAGTTCCTTGTAGGCTTTTCAAAACATAAGGCAAGACAAAAGGGAAATGATAACAGTAGCAGCTGATAATGCCATAAAAGCCAGAAGTCAGGAAAACTGGGTCCTGTTCACTGTTACATCAAGGGCTTCATAATTTTTGGCAAGTCTCTTGATTTGTTTCTAAAATGTCAGCAATATCTGGCTCAAATAGCTATGGTGAGGCTTAAAGCACCACTGCAAAGTACACTTGAATATTCTCAAGGAAGAAAGTACATACAATGCAATGTATAATTTATTACTTGTAATGGGTGCTAAAGAGAGAAAACATTTCCTTAAGCATGCATTAAGTAAATCTGCTCTCAAGTTTATCTCCAGGTATCTTAAATCTTAGGCAACACCAAGTATTCATGTTTTGACCTTATTAAAATCTCAGTACTTCTTTCCTCAATATAGAAGTTGGAACTGAATAGGTCAAAGAGGTTGACATAATAAACACCCTTGTAAAAACTATACTATACCCAGTGTTTAGTACTAAATTGCACTGCAGTATTACTGCAGATTTGCTTTAGGCACTTGCAAATTAATTATTGTGTGAAAAGGGAAACCCCATATCATATGCACCTGTTCCTCCAACAGCAGACAATGATTTTTGGATTATTGGATGTCCTGCCTGGTCCTCATCTACTGTTCCAGAAAGGCACAGATGTCCCATGCGTCCTGTGTCATATTTGCCAACCTTACAGGGACAGCTCAGTAGCCCTTGTCACCCTCAAATGACACCAGACATCCAACTTCAAACTGAACTAAGTTCAGTGTATTTCTTTCGTCCTTAAACAGAGATACCAAAGTAGGTCATGTGAGACTCAGAGTATTAAGAAGAGATAATGATATCAAATGTAACCAACAAATCCAATTTCCAATCCTGGTACTAGTCAAAACATTGTTCTCAACAACCAGACACGCTTCAAATGTCTCAGCATGATTCTTTTTTTCATTTGATGTTTTTTTGAACTGTCCTAATTTGGAGATAGATTTAATGAACGAGCATTTGGAATACCAACTATTATTGGCCGCACAGTGAGGAAACCTGAAGTTACAGCATTTTCACTGGAAACAATATCTAGCAGGAGTACCAGTGCCCCTCTTCCTGTTTTCTGTAATACACCAAACAATGGTAGAAGGCACTATCCAGTCCTTTCCACAGAGAAGGAGGTCACATTCTCCGATCATTATCAGAGAAATCAACAGACCAGTCTCCAGCCAACAAATGCCATTAATGAGATCAGCAAGGCAGCGTGGCTTTGTGCCTTGGTAAGTGTATATAGGTATGGACCGAAGATCCTGAGTCTGATCCCTCTCCCATGGTTTTATACTTTTTAAAACAAATAGTTAAGGGATAAAATAAGCAAACACTTTGGGTAGTAGGAATTAGATCTGAACAAATGGTAAGATGAGATGACCTAGGCTGGCAAGGACATGATGAAGGGAGAAAGAGAAAAACAGAATGTCAGAAATATAGAGAAGGATATCTAGAGACAACCCAATCTGCATTTCTACTCTTTAGGTATTTCAACAATATCACCAGGTTATCTTCATCCTATGCATACACCAGGATTAATCTTGACATTTTATATTCACCAAAGACTAACATTTCACTTCAGTCCTCTGTTCAAGAATACTGGCACATAAACCACCCATATTGAGCATGCTGCCAAATGTTAATACTACTGAGTTATTTTTGCTCTTTTCATATCTATCTATATATGTATATACACATACATACGTACATATACATATATATACACACTGCTGTGATACAAAAGCTTTTAAAGAGTTTTTTTTTTGTATTTTTGGCTATATTTTGTTGCTAGAATCTCTCTAAAATAATGTCTTGACTCTGGGTGCAAAAATGTCATCCATTTGAGACATAGACACTGCCACTCCTGGTATGATGTTGTCAGTTCTCCTCAAGGTCCATTAAAATCAGCCTGGCTGATGCATCTTCTTACTGATGGAGCTTCCTGACAGCTCATGAACAACGTTGCAACCAAAAGATACTTTCAGGTGTTTTCCTTCCTAGGAAACTCATGTCTACCCATGAGCTCGTATCTATGTTGGTTTTTGTTTGTTTAATTCTGCGCCATCATTGTACACCTCTTAACCTGACCACTTAAAGCTGTGTACTTTTTCCTTCAGGACATGCCAGCCTTTCACCTGTCACAACCGCAATTTTGAATTCTATTAAACAAACTACACATATACTTTTTCTGCCACAGTCATAATTTATAAGTATCTGCTTTCGAAATATCCCTCTAGATAAAAAGTTTTGCATCAATGACAGCAATTTAAAGTCAATTCTTTATCTGCTTCAATTTCTCTATCAATCACTGTCATCTTCAGCTTCTTTAATAGCTTCCCATGTGGTACTTTATCAAGGTCTTTGTTGATACCTAAATGAATGGTCTTTCTTCTGAAGTTCTACACACCATTGTGGTTAGACAATCAGGTCTTTATGAAATCTCCTTTCTTCCACTTTGTAAAGAGAGATATATAACAATTTTCCAAATACATACATTACTCTTGATTCCATTTATGCTCTTAGCATAAATTGCTACTGAATTTGGATTTTCATGTGCCATTTTTTCTTTTTATTTCTTTTCCCTTTTTTGGCACCTTTTTCTCCCTTTACATCTTTCTCTCACTCTTTCACCAGTTTCTTTGCTAGTCTCTCAAAGTCCAGCCCCTCAGGCACTTTCCAGCTTCCTCTATTCTTCCTGCCAGTTCTCATCCAAATTTCTTCCCCAAGGTGCTCAGTGGTCACCAGTACTTAGCGCATATTTGGTGCTTCCCATCTGGGTATTGACACTTCTTTGTTTCTATCCTGTCTGTCCTCAATCTCACCCCTCAGTTCCACCTCCAATTCTGCTCTGGATCATAATCATATACAACTGAAAGTGCAGGAAGGTTTTGCCAGCTCTTGGCTGAAACCTGCCTCTATGCTGGCAGGGTTCAGAATGAACTGAGTTTTCCAGCTCTTTCAAATACCTACCAAGTGCAATGAACAAGAATTCTCAAAAGCTTCTAACTCAGCCAATTGGGCAGATCTTAATGGTGATCAAACATGACACAGAGACCACTGCGTAACAAAAAACATGTCCCTCTTCCAAAATGTTACCTGGCAAGGTTTTTGAAAGTGAGAGATCGGCCTCATTTTAAAACAATAGCAAGACAATTTTTTCACTACCCTTGGTCTGAAGAATCGCCAAACTGTTCAGCTGAACTTGTGTAAAAGATAATTCAAGGCTCACATCCATCACATAGAGCATCATCCCAATTGGCTGGAGGGCTTTATAGTGAATAGCATCAGGCAACTTTAATAGAAAACAGTAGTATGAACATAATAGAAACCCTAAGAGGGCTTTCATTTATTAAGTAATTAATAGAGCTGGAAAATCAGAAGAGTTCACAGCTTCCAGTTAACAGCACGTAACTGTTTTCATTAAACAGAAAAGAGTAGTTGGAAAGTTGCTCACAGTTCTGGAATTTCTTCCATCTGTTACTGCATTCCATATAAGCAGACAGAGTTTCAGAATGACACTTTGGTTTAGCTTCTGCTTAGAGCAAAATATCACCCAGATAAAAAAATACAGGTTTACTATTAGAAGAAAATTCATGTCAAACACAAGACTATTACCTAAAGTGATTACTACTGCCTTGCTTCTCTCTATGACAGAGTTTCCAAAAACATTCCTTTTTAAAGAATTAAAAGTACATTTAAACGTGCTGTATTAAATGATCAGACACTATTTATAACAGTTAGGAAGTACCATCTTTCAGGCAGACAAAAAATTCTCTCAGCTTTATTGGAGGCAAATCAGGCCATGTGCATTAGCAGCAGCCAAATGGTCTTAGAATAGTCTGTTTGTAGAGTAATCTGGCTGATGAAAAGGATAATTCTCCTAGTTCTTTGAAGGTGACTGGAAACCACTGATACACAGAGAATGTTATGTATACTTGTTTGGGATTTTTTAAAAGCATTTTAAATGACCAAAATATGGAAACTTTCCATAATGGACACTAATATCCCTTATGCCTAGACTATTATTTATTTAGATCCAACGTATTTTATACAAATGAGGAAAAATGTAGCAATGTTTTCAGAACAGGAAAATAGCTATTGTAAATCTAATCTCCTGTTACTTCTGCTCTAACTTGTCTTTTGGTCTACAGGATGAATTAGAAATGAATAAGAACATTTAAAGGTTGCTGAAATTTAGCATTTTTGCCTTAAATGCTTTAGACTGTCATGAGATAGAAAGCCAAATGCTTCAAGTTCAAGGTCAGAAGCAAATGCCATGCCATTAAACAAAAGACCACCTCCCCTCTCTAATAGGAGAAGAGATTTGATGGTAGTTCAGAAAAGCTGCAAACTCTCTTATCTTGACTAGTAGGTCTCTTGAAAAGCTAGACTTTTCTATGAGTCTCAGAGGAGTGCAATCTCAGATGAGAACTCCAGTCTGTGAAGTGAGCTGAAACATGCTTGCAGATGTTCAAAGGTTTCTTTCACCACTTTTTACTAATGAATAAAAGATCGCTTAAAATACAATGTATGAACAAAATCAGATAAAATTAATTGGAATGCTGACTGCAACAGGTAAGTGAGCAGACAGAAGGGCATTAAAAAGGAAATGTATAGTTTATACATCAAAAAAGATATTTATGAATCATTCCAAAAACATTCTGGCAAGAGCAAAATGAAATTAAAACATTCCTTAGTCATGTCTATTCAGAGGGACATATGTTGCTGACACCACCACAGATAAAGCTACCTCCTAGCTGGTATCAAGGATAAAATTCAGGCTTAGCTCTAGGCAAATACAGATTCATTTTGCAATATTAGTATTTTTTTTTCCTAGTATACTGAATTTTACATGAAATGAGATTGATATTTAATCTACATGTACAAAGGAAAAAAGAATCACACATACACACTCTGGTATTTATGCTCAGACAGAAAACTCTATCCCATTAACCTGCATCCCTTTTGAGCACTGCTTTCATCAGTTTCACAAAATGTCATACAGTAGAGGGAAAAACCATTAACATAACATATCACTAGTTCTTCTAGGTGCCCAATTAAATGTTGAGTATGGACTAGGCCACCACCTCTCTGGACTGAAATTTATAGGGAAGAATTTCTTCCTCATGGCTAGTGAGAATTTCCCTTGTTGAACCTGTGACCATTTTCTCACATTCTTTTATGGTACACCCCTATAAAGACTCTGGGGCTCTGTCTTTCCTGTATTGCCTTTCAGATAGTGGAAGATTGCTGTTAGGTTCTCTGCCCCACCCCAATGTGTCTTTTTTTTTGTTTGTTTTTTTAAATCAGGTTTAACTCTGCTATCAGATGCCTTCCGAGTTGGCTTTTTTTTTTCTTCTTTTTTTTTCAAGAATTGGAATAGCCTAAAGAGCACTGGACCATTTCCTAGACGATAAAATATAAAACACAGAAGAGAACTACCTAATGAATAAACTATTAATTCATACAGTGGGGGATTACAGCTTCAGCACCACATGCTTCAGGCCACATTTTATCCAAAAATATCTGGTTCCTCTTTCAGTTGCTCAAGTAAAGAAAAGCTTTTCCCTGAAATATGTGGTTGCAGTGTAAAAGGACATCACTAAGAATGCCAAAACGATAATATTCCTCAGTTTTGACCTGTACTTTACAGCTCCTTTCTGAGTCTGACCAAGCTGGCATCTTGCCATGTTCTGCATTAGCCCAAGTTAATTTTTCTTGTAGTTTTACAGATAAGGTGAGACGCATTAGAGAGATTGAATATACTAAAGAGAAGTGCGGTGTCATTAAAGAGAAGACAGGAATTCACTAATTCCAATCCTTAGACAAATACATAATAAAATTAAAACAAACAAAGATGAAATAGCACTCCTAAACCAATAAGCCTAAAACCTTTAAAGGAGTTTCAACTGACAACTCAATTAGATTAGGCAGATCTTTTGCTAGGACAATTTTACTTCATCAGACCAAAAAAAAGCAAGACAGAAGACAGTCATAACTTTTCTGATTTGAGGAAGCAATGCATTTTCTTTTTACATCAGGTTTACTTATCAACAATATAATTTCAAAAACAGTATCTCCTAAAGTTTAATTATTTTTAGGGTATGCAGTTGCCCAACACTCATCCTTCCATGTCACCCTCAAAAACCCCTTTAAAATATTGGGATAGGTAATGAAAGCCAGTGGTACTCCGGCTACTAAATCTGAAAACTTCCAAAATAAAATAAAATAAAATAAAATAAAATAAAATAAAATAAAATAAAATAAAATAAAATAAAATAAAATAAAATAACTCTCAACCTACAGTGTTTTAAGAATTATAAATGTTTACAGTATAAAATGGTATGATGCCCTGTTTCAACACTTAACATCATGGTGTTCTTGGCAAAATTCATGCCCTTTCACAAGATTTGGTCACCAAACAGTTAACCTTGAACAGCTTTATTCCTGCTTATTAATATGCACAGGTTTCCCATCTTCTACTAAACAAACTTTATTAAATACTGCAGTTCGAGGTCTAACCAAATGTCAGATGTTATGGGTTCTTATTACCAATATAATAACAAAACATGTAATAACATGTAACCACATAATAACAGAACATACAGAAGAGTGTATCTGAGCAAACATTAATCAAAATTTATACTTTTTTTTTCTTTTCTCCTCCTAAAGACTCCCCAGAGTACCTACAAACATTAATTGACTCTGCTCGAAATCTAAGGTGTGTAGAGAATCAAATAGAAATTACTCGACCCCAAAGACCTTTCAGATGGATGGCACTCTCAGAGTATCCAGTGGTTACATTTTTTCTCATGTTAACCCATTTTTCCAACCTCATTTGTTTCTAGATCCCTAGTGCACTAATTTTATTTGAGCAACAATTACCAAGAACATTTTTTGTACAGAGCAGCATGCTTGGCCCATGCCTTAGGCACAAACATGAATGGTACTGGTTTTGGAAAAAAAAAATCTATTATTTTGTTTCTTTATTTTACAGTTGTTATTCTTTTGATTAGGATAAACAACAGGCTTAAGCTTGTCAAAGTCACAACAAAAGTTTAAAAAACTTTAACTGCCTCTCTGCAATCCTCAAGCTTCTGCTCACGTTTCACCAGCCCCTCTCAACTTCTGCAGCCCAGCACTGCACCCTCTAGCCCTTCCACAATGCAGGCAGTCAGTTGGCCTCAGAACACTGGGATCAAGGAGCAGAGACAGACCATATCCTGAAATCAGGCTGAATTATACAGCTCTGCTCACATTCCTGTGATTTAACAGTGTGCAGTGAAAGCAGCTATAACCTTAAGTATATTGCAGTAATTGTTATATAGCTGTTTGTTAGAAAGCAGAGTCGGATAACTATTCCAAGTAGATTCCTAAGGCATACAGGAAACAGCTGTATGGTTCAAAAGGTGAAGAGCCCATTCAGCTGTGAAATTATTTTGCTCAGTTCGGTCCCTTACAAAGGGTAACTGGTAAAGGATGAGCAACAACAAAAGGCCTCTTGGAAGCAACAGCCTCAAGGTTCTTAAATGACCATAATAAACCTTGATTTTGCAGAACAATAATGCAAAGGTATTTGACTTCTAAAAGGAAAATTTGGTGGAATAAAAAGGAAAATGAAAAGTCACTAAACAAGGTGCCAGGGAGGAAATAACCATCAGAATGCCCAAAGCCCAAGGAAAGATATAAGAGGTAACAGGACAAAACAAAATCATTCCTTTGGAGAAGATTTGAAGGAACAAGAATGCATCAGTGTGTCTGATAGAGACTGGTCAGAGACTAGAAATTCTTAACGCATCTTCCTTCTCAGATATTTATTTTTCATTGGCTACATTTTTCAGGTCCACTTTTATTACCCAAATACCTCTACTAACATTTTTCTATTGTTCTGATGAGTTTTTCTTTGCCTTAAAAGTCTCAACTGAATCTCTTAATGCTTATGGGCCTTTCCTCCACCACTTTCGGTTTTAGTGTTGCATTTTATTCCTATTCTTTTGATTAATCTCGAATTTCAAAGCAGCCTCAACAAGTTGCACTCTTAGTAGTATTTCTTTCATTGCACTGGCCTTGTATGGCTTTATGAATCAGTCCTAATTTCCCCAAAGAGGAAAAGCATGAATCTGCTATAAAGATAATATACTGAGGTGTCTTCTAGAATTCCCTTGACTACCTGAATCACAGTGTTGCAGTATTTCTTTCGCTCCTCAGACTTTGTTATATCTCAAGGAATTACAAGTTTAGTATCTTTGTAATAAACCTTTCAAAGGTTTACTCGTTGTGCCAGTACTAAAT